CATGAAATAAGTGACTGTGTTGTAAATGTCAATTGACTTATTTCACTGGTCAAATGTCTCACCTACCTGCTCAATAAAAAAAATTCAATTAATTTAAGAAGAAAAAATTATTTATTTAGATTTCAGTTTATTGCAGTACACCTTTGCATTTCCTTTTTACATCCTTTCTGATGTTTTTGGGCTGACTCCATATTCTGAACCCACTTCACAGGGAAAATCTAACTTCACTGTTAGAATCCTTGTTGATTTTCCCTCTGAATGAATTTAAAACTCCTTCTCTGCATCTGGCAGCTGTCTTGTTGGGGTTTTGTTTCCTGTCAGCGGCAGTTCATTTAGATCTCCTAACAATCTTTTAACCTGGAGACGCATCTGGATGATTAGACTATAGAAAATATTAGTGTCGGAAATGCAAATTCAATTTTTACTCCATTGTCTTTGCTCAGAAAGACAACGAACGGGTCCACCCCTTTGGAATGGACCCAATCTAAAGGGATGGACCCGTTCGTCCGTTTCAATTAGCATGTTTTCTAAAGGCTTTGTTTTGCTACTGTATAAAGCCTCAAACTGTCAAATTGAAAAAAACTTCCTGGATGGGAAGCGAAACGTCTTCAAGCTTGGAAACTAAGTCCAGTGGAGTGGTTTTTTTTAAAATCTTTTTTGGAATTACTGTGACCTGGATGACTGAGAATCTTCACCAGGATGTTTTTCATGTAGAAAGATCATTTTTTATGTCGTCCGATTGAGTTTGAACTTTGTCTGCTGGATATTTTCTCAACCCGTGGAGCTAATGGCGCGGTTTTGTCTCTGCTACATCTATTTTTTAAGTTTTGGACTCACACACAGGTTTGTGTAAGGTAGATGTGTAGCAGTGCAGCATCTTAATGTCCTTCTGGCCAAACTTGGCTGCTATAGCAACAGGGAACATGCATGTTTTATTCAGTAATGACAGAGGTCTACAGTTGGGGTCACCTCAGACTAAAGGAGAACAAGAGGTGCAGAACAGAGCAGGACGTGATGACAAAAGCTCATCTAAGGAAGTGACTGGGGAAGTAGCTAATGAGGGCAGAACGGTAACCTTTATGGCAGAATGTTGACTGCTGGAAAATCGAGGAATATTGCCTCTGTGTGTCAGAATACAGCGCCTTACCTGAGTCACCTTATCCAGGTCTAAGTCTATCAGATCTGCAGCTTCCTGCTGCTTCTGCTGCTCTTTTTGTTGAAGGGATTTCTCATGCTTATGACGATGATGATGATGAGGATGATGATGATGATGGGGGGTCTTTTGATGTCCGTTCTGTAACCCAAACCCCAGTGTTAGATGAAAGGTGGGATGGAAACATTCTCACACACAAACATGTTAGTTATTGCATTCATCCAGACAGTGAAACAGATATTTATCTATACCACAAACCGCCATTCAAACTACATTTTACAAATGTTTTTATTTTCCAACCCTTTCCACCAAATGTTATCCCTCTAAAAGGCTTCACCGAACATCGATGTGATGAAGGTTTTTCCATTCCTCTTTTCAGCGCTGGTCCAAACCCAAGGTGCAGATTGGTCCAGCCAAGCCAGTACACTGTTTGCTGCGTGACAATATTATTGAGTGTGTTGCTTTCATTGGATGAAAGCATGAGATATGGCCATCATTAGCCGATACTGAAAAACAATAACATATTGCCCAGTAGTAATCAGGTCTAAAAGCGCCGCTCATTTTTCTACTCAGCTTTGTTCCCTCTAAAAATTTGAACTCATAATCACTCATTTCAATCTAGCTGATGAAACACATTTGTCTGAATTTGTGTGTGGGTGTGTTGCTGCGTTTTATCCTTTGAATCATACAGTATCTGCCATCTTTGCTGAAAGTTGCAGTCTGCTGCTGGCCTTCCCTCCGTTTGTCCTTCTATCCTCACTCTCTCTCTCGCTTTCTTCGCTGCCAATTATCCCTTTGTGCCCGTTAGACGCTCTCGCCATCTCTTCGCCCAGCCCACAGTCCCCATCAGCGCAGCCACAACCTATCAATTAGCCATCTCTGGGGACACGGTAATTACCTGTGCACATGTGTTCTGCATACAATTAATGCATCCCCTTTAATTAACACCACCTTGTTGATTCCCTGCCGAGTGACTGATCTCGCTGGCGTGCAGCGCAAACACCGCCTGACCTTGTGCAAACATTGCACACAA